TCCTAATTGATCAACGGATGTTAAAAATATTTCCTAATTGATCAACGGATGTTAAAAATATTTCCTAATTGATCAACGGATGTTAAAAATATTTCCTAATTGATCAACGGATGTTAAAAATATTTCCTAATTGATCAACGGATGTTAAAAATATTTCCTAATTGATCAACGGATGTTAAAAATATTTCCTAATTGATCAACGGATGTTAAAAATATTTCCTAATTGATCAACGGATGTTAAAAATATTTCCTAATTGATCAACGGATGTTAAAAATATTTCCTAATTGATCAACGGATGTTAAAAATATTTCCTAATTGATCAACGGATGTTAAAAATATTTCCTAATTGATCAACGGATGTTAAAAATATTTCCTAATTGATCAACGGATGTTAAAAATATGTGCCTCCATACTAAGCACGATCTTGTACATTGTTAGATAAACTGGTTTGACATCCATGATTTTATTGATTCTTGACATGACATCTTCAGCAGATAAAAGATCAAATGAGGACTCAGTCATGTGTTTGTTGTCTATTCTGAACCAATAGAAATAGTAATGGCGTTATCATCTATCTTTCTATCTATCTTATTATCCAATTAAAGATATAATCCTTCAATCGGCGCTATCAGTAAATGGAAATATTTACTTCTACTGAAACTATACTATAGTGCAGAAAGGGTATTTTCAAATTTACTTCCATATAAAGATGACAATGTCTTCTTCATAACAATACCCTTAAAAGCTTTGTCTGATCAAGTATAAATTAGATATCAATGGTTATAAATTTTAAAGCTGGTTATTTGCAATTGCGGTAATTATCAGAAAGAAATTGTTAAACCTAGAAAAAACTACAACATTTTCCTCATTATTGATATTACGCTCAAAGTCCCTTCGTAATTTAAAAATATGATTGATGTAGCTGGCCAAATCGGCTGAAAAAAAATTTGGTTAACCCATATCCTGGGGTTGGGGGGAGATAGATATATTTATGCTGAACAAATTTTGGAAATTCTTCAAATTCCACTGGCAACGCCATCTAAAATTATGATTTAATAATATTTTAATTTAATAATAAAACGAATAATAATATAAAGCTGGGCAACGCCGGGCACTCCAGCTAGTACACTTCATGGTGACTGTACTGTCAATATCTGGTGTCCAATCTAAAGTTTTCTTGAANTCAACATAACATCAACAAGTTAATTTTGAGAAAAGGGTTGAATTCTTACGTTTACCGAAAATGACAAGGTATGAGTAATTTCAAATAGTTTGTCTGTACTTATTATTGTTTGGTCATGTTTATTTTTATTTAAGCAAAAACCTTGAATTTGCAAGCTTAAGGAAAAGTCAATAATCATTATTATTTTGATTAAAGTAAAAATGCTAAAAATAGGTTTTAATTCTATTTTAAAAACTTAATTAGTCATATGTAAAATTGCTTTGCTGCATGTTTCTTTCAAATGCAGATAATTAATATGTTTTTTTTTGTCTGTGTTTTGTTGTCTATACACAAATTGTAAAAAAGAATAACTTCTCATATTTTTCATGTTTTTTTAAATTATGACTTAGAGGACTTGAAGACTTAAAGACTTGAAGACTTGAAGACACCAAGTTTGTCTTTTCATGGTCAAATTAACATAAGACAAAGCAATTATACAGTGTAAATAGACCTAATTCACTTAAAAAGTGATTTGATAAGTTACTAGCGAAGCTCAAAGAGAATAGATTAAAAATAGAGTGGAATTTACTCGAAGAAAGTGTAAAACGGCCATTTTGTTGTACTGTTTCCATACTGCAGGTGATTTTCACACATTTATGCTAATTAACCTTTTGGGCCATGGAACATCAATTTACAGAAAAGTTTTCTTGAAAATTATTTGATTTTCACTAAATCAATTCTCTGATAGCCTGTCATGCATTCCCAAGTTCATTTCAGCATAAGCTTTGCTAATAACTAATTTGATATTTTTATTTAGTAAATACATATTTTTTAATTTGAGGTAATCAAACAGTAAAAAAACAATATTTCTAAAATACTCAAGATACCAAAATATTAAAATTGAGGATGAGGAATGTAAATGGTTATTAACTCTTTTATTTCAATTTCATAACTTTTATACAGAGGGACTCATAAAACTGTTAAATGGAAGGAAAACATTTAACCAATCTAATTTATGTTTGCTAAGTTTTAAGTCTTGTTAGAAAGTAAAACGTCTCTGAGACAGGTGGAGAGGAGGGAAACAACCCTAGAAAATTGCAGGAAGTTTCTATATGTAGAATGTATAGAAACTTAAATTCTATTTTAAGAATGGATTAAAAACATTTTCCCTGTGGAACATTTAATAAATAAAAAATTGTTTAGTCAAATAAAGATAGTTTTATTGTTTTTAGCACGCAGGTAGCTTGGAATTTGCTGGGGGGGGGGTTAATTTGTTGGACCAATATCAATTAATGACTCATAACACAATATAGTTTCTCGATAAAAAAAGTATGACTTAGGGTTCATTTTGAGCACCAAGCTTGTAGCCTGAAATGGCTTTTTTTGAGCTTTAAAAACGGCATTTTTCTTTTTGATGCCATTTTTTTTAAGTAAGAATAATTCATGGCTATTTGTAATAGCTCAAAGGAAAAGAAAAAATATTGCAAAACTGCAGACAAAATATCTATCTAAATTGCAAATTTGCAAAAATTGAATTTTTTATCGCAAAATCCAGTTACATAGTAAAAAAGTTTGCACAAATAAAATTGTCCAAAAAATAAAAAATTATACATTTTTGAAAAGCCCTTGACCATGCTATTTCAAATATGCAAAAAATTTAGCAAAATTTTAAACAACCTGGTTTTTTTTATCAAGAAAAACTAAACTTGTACAAATTTCCTTGGACAGGTTGTTTGCAAAAATTTGCAATTTTTTTCGCAAAACTTGTGCAATTCGTTTCCTTATGTCAAAGGCTTTCCAAAAAGCTAAATTTTATCAAAATCTGACAAGTGGAAGTGGGTCAAAACAAAGATTTAGTTTGTTACAGGCAAAAGCAGTCATTCAGGCAGTGTGCCTGAGGACTCAGGCAGTTAGTATTAAAGCCCGGTTTTAGGCCTAAAGGGAGGGCTTTGGGTATGTAAGAAAAGTCAGACCAATACTTTTTGAGTTATGTAAAAAAAAACTACAGGGGGGGGGTCAAATTGCCCCCCCCCAGCAGGAATAGGGTTAATTGCAGTATACAAGGAGTCTGAAGCCAAAAAGATTAACGATTCTGTAGGTATTCACTTTACAAACGACGATTTTACATTTGAATGTTTAATAAAAAAAATGATTTTAATTCACTTATAGCCAAAAAACACGTTTAAAGTTATTTAACAATTTTTATTAAACAAAGAAATTGGAATGGATATGTCCAGAGCCCAAAACATCAGACAGGGTATCGTTATAAAAACCAGTTTTAAAACCCGAGTTTCACGAATGGAGTCAAGCAGTTTCGTGGATTTCAATATTTTTGTTATGAAATATGAATTTATTTAGTTTCTTCGTGTTCTCTATTATTTTTCTTAAATGAAAATTTACACAAATGTTAAGACCCTAAACAGGAAACTCGGGAGTTTCATTCAACGATAACTTTTTTAAATTTTGGGCTCAGGGATCATACTGTATAAGTGTGATGTACTGCGTATAATTTGTGAACATTTACATAAATTGTACACTTTAAACTCCCTTTCAGGCTGAAAGGGATTACTCAAGGGATTGTTTAAATTCCACTCTATGTATAATCTATTCTCTTTGGTGAACTATTTGCTTTGTATAACATTAACTTAAAGTACACTAAATTATTGCTTTAAGTGTTCTGGTTTTCACTATATATGTTTTCAATGATTACTCCTTTAAAACAAGAGCTTTTGAGAAAAACAAAAACGTTTTGAATTCCAAATATGTTACCGGATAAATGCATCTCTAAACGTTTTGAATTCCAAATATGTTACCGGATAAATAAATGCGTTTCTAAACGTTTTGAATTCCAATTATGTTACCAGTGGCCGAATTTAAAGAATTTGAGCGGCGGTTTAAATTTAAGCCACGGTTTAAATATGGTTGGTTCCACTTGAAATTGTATCAAATGTTTCAAGATTTAAGCTGGCGCTTAATTTAAACCGGGTTTTGGCAGATTTAAACCGCGGCTCAAATTCTTTAAATTCCATCTCAGATAAATCAAATAGATTATCAAGTACAATAGGTGGCAACAGAGAAATGGATCAATTATACACGACGTCACAAGTGTCAAATATAACAAGAAAAATGAAATTTTCTCACATTATTTAACATGTTTTTCAAGATTAAATAAAAAAGTGTAAAAACAGAAAATAAATAAGATACTAAATTGCACCCTTTCCACTGTAAGATAAGCTCTTTATTCTAAAATTATCTCTATTAACAATTTTGTCGGACACAAAAACTGAGTTGACACTTGTGATGTAAAAATACAGCAGTACTGAGAGTGTACAAATACTACGTTGCCATCTATTGTACTTAACAATCTATTTGAGATAAATAAATGCTTCTCTAAACGTTTTGAATTCCAAATATGTTACCGGATAAATAAATGCGTCTCTAAACGTTTGGAATTCTAAATATGTTACCGGATAAATAAATGCGCCTCTAAACGTCTTGAATTCCAAATATGTTACCGAATAAATAAATGCGTCTCTATTCTATTTCACAATCTACCAGACAGAAGACAAAAGGTCAAATTTATGCGACAGAACTGTTACGACCTTTTGACCTTGTAGGTTTGATTTTTACGCACAAGCATGAGAAAAGCACATTTAACTAGTTACAAATTAGAAATTTGAAATATTTTTGTTCTTCTCAAAAGCTCTCCAATTTGAGGAGGTATATGATTGAAAACATATTAGACTTCAGTATAACGAGTATAACATTAGATTTCCTTTAATATAACGTGATTTCTAACCTTTCTAATATTTAAACTAAAATTATTTTGTATTGCAGACACGAGATGTCGAAGAGCAAGGTTGCCCGCTTCTTCAGAAAATACTTTCTTGAAGGTAATTTTAGAAATAATATTTCTAATATTTGACTCCCCCTCCCCCTTCTTTGATTTTTGTAAATATCCAAGCTACATACAACCCGGGTATAATCTAGTTTTTTTTTTATGAAATTAGTATTTGTTGAAGATTTTTTTCGTTATTATTTTAGAATAATTGTTTATATCTCTAGTGCTACGCCCTATAAAGTTTTATTCTTCCACCCCTTCCTCCAATGCAGATGTTCGCCGGTAAAAATGACCGTTGCTCGATTTTATGAGTTCGTTCGTCCATCGTTCGTTGAAAAAAACGATGTCTATCAATAATGTACGCTTAGCACGATTTACTAAGAATAACAATTCTAGAAATAGAATTCAAATTAAATTCGTTAGGACAAAAGCTGGATGAAACTGCTGAAAAGGCCTTAAAGGAACTGCCTGAGGATGCTCCTTGGTCTCAGAAGCTTCTTGTCAAGCATCGTAGACTAGTAGGTAAATATGGTAGATTAATAGATAAACTATGGTAGACTATAAGTAGGTAAATATGGTAGACTAGGAAGGTCAATATGGTAGATTAGTAGGTAAACTATGGTAGACTAGGAAGGTAAATATTGTAGATTAGTAAGTAAACTATGGTAGACTAGTAGGTAAATATGGTATACTAGTAGGTAAATAAGGTAGACTAGTAGGTAAATATGGTAGACTAGTAGGTAAATAAGGTAGACTAGTAGGTAAATATGCAGGTTAATATGGTAGACTAGGAAGGTAAATATGGTAGATTAGGGGGTAAATATGGTAGACAACTACAAATATACAGCTTTATAAATTTCCTCATTTTAAAACGTGATTTTTCTGAGAACTTTTCCAATTTTTAAAAAATAGGTTAATTTATGAAATATTTGTTGACGAGGGATATTTTAATGTTGAAGGACTTTTCATTCCGGTATTTACTTGATTTTTATAGATATTTAAGAGACTGTAAACGTTATTATAACCCACTACCTAATCAGGTGCATGCTCTATTCACAAAGGTACCCTTGATAAAAGATATTTTTGGTTTTATAACTTCATTAATTATCTTTTTCTCAACGCCACATAAATCCACATACTTCTTTATTAGAAAACCCACAATTAAAAAATATCGATATTCTAGAAAAAAAAGTAGTTTTCATCTCATTTTCGCTGTTTACTGAGTAACGTTTTGAATGAGCATTCAACTCTTAAAATGGAGGAAACATGAACTTAAGCAGACAGTCCCTTTAAGAAAGTTTCATTAAGTAGAAATGAGTCAGCTTTTTGCTGGAATTTATTCAGATAATTAATTTCATTTTATGGATCCAACGCAAAGATTGAAATCATTTTTAAATACCTTTAAAGTAGCGTAGCTTTTAGTTTTGTGTTACGTAGTTAAAATGTATATTGTTGCCAGATACAATTACAGGGTGTTCCACTGAACATGAAAATGTCTAACTTAGAAGATAATCATCTATCTTTTAATTATGATTCTTAAAACAATAATCATAAAATGCTTTTATTCCTGGCATTTCAAAATGTGGTCTGACTTTTCATGATTTTCAAATAACTGAAATTAAAAATTTAAATAAAACGTCTTAAAAAAAGACCGAAAAGTGGATAGAATTGATAGGTTTATATGGGGAAAATGTATCTACCATGAATTCCATAAAATATGAAAAATGAAGACGACATTTCATCAATTTAATGTTTAATTTAATTTTGTCATAAAGCAAACACTTTTTCCATTTATGCTTGAAAATAAACTGCAATGCACAATTACTTGTTTTTATGTTTATTGGACTTTTCAAAAAATCGTCTTAGCAATCCACAGTTAATGGGTCCAACCGTAGATAACACAGGCATGCAGATAGAGAGATAAATTTATTGATTAATGATTTTTCTGTAACATTTTAGGAATTTTGATTCCCTTGACCTTTGTCCAGCTACTCTGGTGGATGCAGGTCAGCTGAAATTTTTTTCTAAATTTTTAATTTTTTCCAAGCTCAATTTTTTAGTTAGAATTATTTTTCCAATTAAAAGAAACATACTTTCGTTTAATTTTTTACTATGTATAATAATAAAGATAAAATTTAAAATTTTGCGTATTTTTTAAATTTTACTTTGGGGTTTGCCAAATTTTTTAATGTTTTAGGCAATAAGGTTCGATTATTTCTCCCTGTTCCCAGACCGGTATCTTATGAGTATTACAATGGTGTTTGGAGCTTCAGTTGCAGGTACAGCGTTGAAATTATATAGTGTTGTACAGGGTGTCCCAAAAAACATCAAAGAATTATCTAAAAAGACTATCGAATTCGTCACTGAATTTCCATGTTTTTTGGGACACCATGTATGTTGTGTAATACTTTAGGTACCTGTAAATTGTACTGTGCTACAGTTTTAATCAGAACGTTGGAGTCATCATAAGAATTTAAAAAATGTCGTCTTAAAAATTTTTCAATTGGTTTCATACTTTTTTACCTAAGTCTCAGCAATTTTAAAAGAAAAAAGAAAAAATAGCTTCTGTAATATGCAGGAACAATTTTAAAGAGCTTCTAATAATAATTTAGTTAAAAAACTAAATATATGCAGCATGCATTCCATTATTAGTATCAATTTTTTATCTTTAGCTCACGTGCATATTACATTATGTGATAAACACATTGATTTATCAATTGACACAGTGGGTTAGATTCTTTTCTCAGTCGTATCGATGAAAGAAACTAAATTTTTTAGTTCAAAATAAAAACAAAATGCATAATATCTAGGAATGACAAGTGAAGGCGGGGGTGCAGTTGCTTTTCCTGTGATGACACTTGGTAAGCAGTTATGGAATGTCGTCCCTCATAAAATCAAATTTTGAATTTAAAAATTAGTTTACAAATAAAACATTGATATTTTTATCATAAAGAAATACGTTTAAAATAGAAATCAATCAAAAAATTCAATTTCCTAATTTAAAAAAAAAAATTTACAACAGTAAAGATATAAAACATTGCAATTCTTAAAAAGTGAAATTTCTTAACAATTTTGAAAATCTTATTCTAAATATTATTTTAGCGCTAGCCATTGCCCCTGAAGTAGCGAGAGATTTTTCACTCATGATCCAGTCTATAGGTAAATTTATAATACGTCCCAATAAACATAAGATTAATCGAGACTCTAGCATGGAAACCCTTAAATTAAACTTGTGGGTTATCTACTTAAAATAAAAATTACATCATCATTAATTAAACTTTTTTATTTAGGAATGACATCTGCATCCTTCACTATTCTTTGGATGAAAATCAAATTAGAATATAATTCTATATTGTTCTGCGGAATTGGAGCCACAGGAGGAATTATTCTAGGTAGCGATCATAATTAAAATGATAAAAATAATAATGATAATAAGAATAATAATTATAATATTAATAATGATAGTTAAAGTAAATGTAAAATGTAATAATATTTGTAAGAAACAATGACATGTTAATAAATGTGTCTTAAAGGAACTGTAGAAGTAATTTCTAGTGACCATTCATTAAAAAATGGCATGTCAAGTATACATAGGTTTTAAATATGGTTTCTCTACAAAAGTTAANCACAGTCCCTTTATCCGTACACAGTCCCTTTATCCGTACACAGTCCCTTTATCCGTACACAGTCCCTTTATCCGTACACAGTCCCTTTATCCGTACACAGTCCCTTTATCCGTACACAGTCCCTTTATCCGTACACAGTCCCTTTATCCGTACACAGTCCCTTTATCCGTACACAGTCCCTTTATCCGTACACAGTCCCTTTATCCGTACACAGTCCCTTTATCCGTACACAGTCCCTTTATCCGTACACAGTCCCTTTATCCGTACACAGTCCCTTTATCCGTAAATATCTAGGAATAGAGGTGATTGATGGATTGCTGAGCGGACCAGTGAAGAAGCTAGGATTTGTCTGTATTTGGTTCAGCTTTGCTTTCTCTCTCTTCCTGCTAAACAGGTTTAAAGACAATGGTGGGAAAATTTATCAGAATTTTGCAAAAAAACTTTCTTTAAATATTTTTAACAATCTTGCAATTTCTTCAAATAAGTTTATAAAGATCATTCGTGAGAAACAGTTTTTCTGAATACTAAAGATTATTTTTGTAAAAATAATTAATGGCAAAAAATTAAACAATTTTTATTTAATGCAACTAAAACAAGTTTTTACAATTTTTTTCTGAATATGTAGACTCTTTCATAACGAAACCAGGTTTATTTTTAAAATAGTTTAAATGTCAAATTTCGCTGTAATCCTTGTATCCATTAAAAAAAGAGAATTGTTTTCCTTGTAACTCCCATTCACGATTGAGTTCTTAAAATTTATGATTTTTATTTTCTTTCTTCATTATTTTCAAGGTTTTTTTCTGTTCTAGGGAGCACAAGAGGAAAACCTTTGATAAAATCCAGAATATGACTGTTTGGAAACGAATCTGTTTGATCCTGGCAGGGGTTATTGGAGGTAAAATTCAGGGAGGTTGGGTGTTTTTTTGTGATTACAAATAAATAAACATATGTTAGATCTGAAGCATAACTGATGAATAAAGATCATTTTTATTTTTTTAAACGCCGTCTAGACGTTTGACCGTCCTGCCTCCAACCTACCCTATGCATAAAAAAATGTTTTTGAAAAGAAGCCAGATTGAGCGCTTGAGAGAGGGTGGCGGACCCCCCCCCTCTCAATCCCCAATCATGAAGGGGTTAAAGAAAGCAGGAAAATGTTAAATCTAACAAATAACAGATATTTGTTTGATGAGTAATAAAAAACAACAAAACATGTAGAAATTTACAAGAATGTACATGCATGCCCATCATTATTTTAAAGTATGCTGATTACGTAGCATTCTTAAATCTAGGAATACAGATATTCTTATATGAACACGTAATATCCACATTTGGCCCAAATGATCCAATAATACATTTAACTATTACCTTTTGTCAATGAAAATGTGGTAGGATACAGATATCTTGGTTTTGAATTCAGTGAGCCATAGATTTCGAATTTTTTCCCCTCCAAATATTCAGTTCCTACTTAAATTGCCCCAAAAAATGTAACTTTTTAATATTGCTCCTAACGGTTAGTCGTTAAATAAGTTAAAGGTAAAAAAGTTTTAAAATATTTTTTTGTTTTGATTTTGAGGCTTTTATTTGCTTTTCCGCTGCATTCAGTTAAAAGGACTGTAAGCGTAATTTTAATTGACCCTCCAAGCAAAGATGGCAATGCCCGATTACAACGGTACCCTTGAAACCTTAATCTAATCAAAAATGTGGAAAATTCCGTCGTTTTTCTGGCTCAAAAAAGTATTTATTTTTGTAAGTTTCTCCATTGCCTCTTTTAAACATGAAATGCGCTATTCACTTTCGCACAGAAACTGCAAGGCGCAAATGAAAATAAAGAAGTTAACGCGAAACAAAAACATTGAAATCTAATTTATACTTGAACAGACAAAGCTTACAGTCCCGTTACGAGAATGCATGACACTTGGTTCAAGGTGTAAAATCGGATTCTATGCGGTCAGGATGACGAATGAAAAATAAATAATTCTAAAGTCTGATAAATCAACGTGTCGTTTCATTCACAGACATAAATTAGATAACGGTATATACGTTTAAACAAAAGACCAGAAGTAAATTAAATCCTGACCCCCCCCAAAGTAATCTCTGTTGGTTTGTTTATATGTCTGATCAAAACTCAGTAACCTCTAGACTGATTTGCCTCCAATTTCTATTGGGGAACTCTGTAAAAACACGGAAATGGTCTTTAGCTATAGGGTTAAATAGTTGAACAGTTGACTCTTTTTAAGAAAACTTTGGTTCCAGGAAAAGGTGGGTTTCAAAGCTATAGCTCATTTTAATTACTACACTCTTATAAAGAAATAGTTAATTTCATGTTAAACTACTGGTACGGTATTGTGACCGCGTAGATACCAAAGTATGTACAGGGTAAGTGAGCGTACTACTGATATAATTGCATATATGCACATTAATTGTATATATGAACATTAATTGTATATAATAATTAAATATTTATATACAGAGTATAGTGAGAAGGTTGCTACTTCTACAAGTTTCCAACTGATATATATGATATATATGTACAATAATCAAATATTTATGTACAGGGTAAGTGAGAAGGTGGCAACCCCTACAAGTACACTACTGATTTATATACAGTAATTAGATATTTATGTACAGGGTAAGTGAGAACGTGGTAACCCCTACAAGGCACTACCGATATATATGTACAGTAATCAAAAATTTATGTTCAGGGTAAGTGAGAAGGTGCTAACCCCTACAAGTGCACTACCAATATATATGTACAATAATCAAATATTTATGTACAGGATAAGTGAGAAGATTGTTTCACCTACAAGTGTAATACTGGTATATGTACAATAATTAAATATTTATGTACAGGGTACGTGAGAAGGTTGCTACACCTACAAGTGTAATACTGGTATATTTACAATAATTAAATATTTATGTACAGGGTACGTGAGAAGGTTGTTACACCTACAAGTGTATATGTACAATAATTAAATATTTATGTACAGGGTAAGTGAGAAGGTTGCTACACCTACAAGTGTAATACTGATGGCCATGAATACATGCGTAGGTAAGAGTTTGTTCGTTCACTAAGAATGCAAGGATGTAAATAAAAGACGTGAAGCCCGTTTAACTGTATGATAGGAAGACGACTTTTAGACTCAAGTCCAAAGAGATAAAACACAAAGTCATTTCACCTAAAAAGATTGATTTAAACAATTTGTGAAACTAGTTTCTAAAGGATTGAATTAAATACTCGATCATAAGATTTCTCGAATAAAGTCTTTCTATTCCACAATTATGGGTCTCACTGTAGATACAACAGATTGTCTTGAGAAGCTTTTTCATTTTTACTTTTCTTAGAACTGTTTTTAGTTTGGTCATTTTCCTTTAATTATTCTTTTAAGTAACAAGTTCATTCATTTGTGTTAGACAGAAAACATTCATGAATAGTCTATAAAGAGAAAATTTGCGGATTTTATAACATCTTGTTAGCTGATTTATTCATTGGCGAGTAAGACGATATTTTCTTCGCTAAAAAATAGTATTTGATTTTGTAGGTTTTTATTGGAGAGAAATTATGATGGGCGGAGTAGAGGTAGACGCCTGGGGATACCTAAAGGTAAACAATTTTTTGAAAAAAAGAAGAAAAAAAGACCCTTTTCATTATTTCTGTAAGATACGTTTAAGCCGAAAAATAGCCAAACCATATTGAATAGGGAGAGGTGTTAATTTTAGATTTTTTAGATAAAAGATTTCATTAAACGAAAAAAAAATTTCAGACAAATCAAAAATATGATGCTATTTAAAAAAATTATACAAAAATCTGAGATTCTTTGATGCTTCTGTTGAGTGAATTATGGCATTTTTGTATGTCTCACGTTTGTGTACAATGGTCGGCGAATTTATCAATAAAATTGAAACGATTAAAAAAAATAATGCTTTGATTCCTTAAAGTAATTTTCGAATTAAAAGTTGATAAGTAAACAAAGAGAAATTTATAGCTTCTCTTAGTCTACGTGTGCATGTGTCTGCTTTTTGAACGCTTGGTAGAAATAAAAATTGAAATAGAAAGTCGTCTTCATTGTAATGATTTATACCATAAGATGACGACTATACGTAAAGAAGAACATCGTCTTCATTATATAGATATATTTGACGATATATGTACCAACTAATATTAGATATACATAATATAGTGCTGTGCCCCTGTAGTGTGTGTATTTGCTCCTCTAGGCTCCATTCTTGCAAGCCACTTTCACAGGTTAGTTTAAGATCTTTTTTGACGCTAAATATTTAATATTTAATCTGCGTCAAATACTTAGATGTTAACTTAATGTGTTTTAAATAAAATTTCTTGCTATTGCTAAATGCCTATATACTTAAAATGAATTATCTTTAAAAAAATTTAAGTACTCTTTCTTATATATTTTTTAGACAAGTGTTGGCTTGCCTCATGTACATCCTGGATACACTAGCACTGGTAATTTTTTTTACATTAATAAAAAAACTATTTTGAATTTTTTTAGCCTATTTTACTCCCGGGATACCCCTATGGGTTCCCTCAAAAAAATGTCAGTTCATTCGGTCCAGCCGTTTGGCCGGCCAGAGGGAACATATCTACGAATGTCTTTGAAGTATGCCATCTTTTATCTTATTTTTTATAAATTTTATTCTTTGATTGGCATCAAAATAAAAAAATAATCTTTTTATTCTTACAATTAAGATGATTATTGTTATTCCAAATGTTAGGTAACTGCTTTCGTTGTTCTGTGGGACAAAATGGACACTACACTTTATAGTATGAGGTAAAAACTAAACTGTGTGAATCATTATTTTTCAGGTTTTTAACTTCTGCATAAATTGCTCAAATTTTTCTCAATATTTTCCGAAGGGTAAATGGTTTATAATAGTCTATTAAATTGCGTAAATGACTTTTTAATATTTTCCTAAGCTGCTTAAAAGATTTTTCAATATTTTCCTTAACTGTGTAAAAATAATTTATTGGAGCGCTTGAAATTCTTGGCAAGAATGAATGATTTTAAAATCTATTTTTACCCTTTTAAACAACGTTTTCTCTAATCTGCCAAAGTAATTTTTTTTCTTTATTTTAAAATACAGTCAGAAATTGTATATTGTATATATGCACGAAATTGTTATGATTAACAGTTGAATCTTGTAATTCATCCATTGAACATATTATTATATATTTATTCTCTCATCCTCATATTCATCTTTGAAATACATTTCAAATATTTATTACATCAGAAAACACACAGAGAGAGATATAGTAATAATACTAAAGTGTTTTACATTGATTATCGTCTTCATTTAGGATTGGTTTTCGTCATTGCAGGGGATTTTGGAGTTCTGAAAAAATATGATTTTTGACAGAAAGAAATAAAAAATCTGCAACAAACTCAAATTTTCTAATATCTATATCTTTATAACCAGATGGTGTAAAAAACATTTGTTTCAAACTTATTTTGAATTAATAGAATTTATTGCTTGAAATATCTAAGGTTTTTTTAAAATTAGGTTGCAAAAATGTTGGGGTGGAAAATTTCATGAAATGGACATTTTACTAATCGGACATAGTTCATGGTCATTGTTCAGAAATAACAATTAACTTATAGTTTGAGAAAAATCTGCTTAATCATATCGTAAAAATGTAAAAAGAAAATCATCATGATAATTGTGAAATTTCCCATTTCTATGTTGAGACATCCTTTGTCACTTACACGTACATGAAACGTCCCAACTCAACCAAATTTATTAATATCAAAAAATGATTTAACGCAGTCTGGCATATTTTACAAAGGTATCCTTTCAACTTTTCCTAATCAAGGATACAAAATATATTAATAAACTTTTCCTGAACATTTATTAAATTACTTATTTAGTTAAACGTTGTGTTTACACTACGCAATTGCCATGTCTCATGCTCATTGAATTCTTTTAGAATTTGATTCTAAAAGTCGTCTTCGTATTCCAGATTTTTCTGGTTATGGCTTTACCTTTGTAATTTGGTCATACCCCTTGACATTACAATGACAGCCTCTTCAAGAGATGAAAATACCTTGATGTGGTTTCTATCCCTTCAAGAAGATGAAAATACCTTGATGTGGTTTCTATCCCTTCAAGAAGATTAAAATACCTTGATGTGGTCTCTATCCCCTCAAGAAGATGAAAATACCTTGATGTGGTTTCTATCCCTTCAAGAAGATGAAAATACCTTGATGTGGTTTCTATCCCTTCAAGAAAATTAAATAGCTTGATGTGGTTTCTATCCCTTCAAGAAGATGAAAATACCTTGATGTGGTCTCTATCCCTTCAAGAAGATGAAAATACCTTGATGTGGTTTCTATGGGTGATAAAGCTTTCAGAAAGTTTGTATTCCCCAGTCCGATAATAGAAGCCGTAGCAGCATCTTTTCCTGGGATTTTGTAATTAATAATAGTTTTTTCAATCGTTAAAAAAATTGATTTCGTTCTTTTTAAAATTATCGTTCATTTTCCATCTATTCGTTTTCTTGCTGAACGATCGTTCAGTAAAATCGTTCTTTCATTAAAAAAGGTCGGTTTTTCAAAAGTTTTTTTTAAAAATCGTTCCTTCAGTATAAACTATCGATTTTAAATAACGGAAAAAAAACTATCGCTTTTAAAGATCGTTTGAACGAACAATTTAAAAATAGTTTATAAACGCATAGCGAAAAAGATTGATCAAAAAATTATAAATCGTTCCTTTCTTCGTTTCTCTGAACGATCGTTTACCCATCGTTCGTTTGTTCTAAATTTTTTATCGTTCGTTGAAAAAACGATGTACGTCTCCAGGTTGATATTTACCTAGCATATCTACCAATCCTTCTACCTCTGCAACTCTTGCCTTCTCCTCATCCTTCTTTGCTGTATTTAATCGAGATTTCCTCTTAGAAGCCTAGAACAGTATAAAATAAAAGTAGGGTGTCCTGAGAGGGTGGGAATGAAGTTAACCCTAACCCAATTGGGCTATTTTGTCTAATATAAATGTTGGGGGGGGGGGGGTGTTTTCCACCCTCCCCTCATGATTTTGCCCCAGGAGTTAAGATATGAGAGTGTGACACAAATGTCCCTAGTCCAACTTTTTAAGTCATGTTCATTAATAAAAAATTAAACCTCTATCTTTACTGGTTAGGGTAAAAGAGAGGATTTTAAAAAGTTCAAAAAGCACGCCGGAAAAATAAATATTTTTACTTTTGACAAATATAAACATGTGACACATGTTATTACATCCCTTTTTCGAGGGCTATTCAAATAATCATTTATAAACATTTATAATTTTAGCCCTGTAGCTAAATTGATAAAAAGTTATAAACCATTTTTGATTTTTAATAGCACCGACCTGCATCAAAAAAATAGTTTCTAAATTTATTGACAACTATGAAATTGAAAAAGTGAAGAAGTTTTGGCGTTCTAATGTCAGCTGTTTTTAACTTATTTAGAAAAAAACGCAGGGAGGGGGTTTGAAAATACCCCCCCCCCCATCATCGTGAAAGGGTTAAAGTGATTGTCGACTTACTTTTAAAATAACCTTTATTTACTGAGTTAAATTCCTTTTAAACCTTTGTTTCTGCAAAAATTAAAGATACATTAAAGATAAACAAAAAATTTACTGGACAATTTATGCAGCAGAGACAAGGAAGGAAATGTATAGAAATATCTGTTTAAGATAGAAAACCGACAATGTCTTCCTCATTCTTGCTTATAGATTAGTTAAGGTTTAAACTTTAAAGGAAGCAATATTCGGAATGGAGAATTTTGTTCTTGAACATAAGAATTTAAATTTTTCTTTTAACAAGTTATATATTTATAATAATATTATGCACCAAAAATTCCCCAGTCCGATAATAGAAGCCGTAGCAGCATCTTTTCCTGGGATTTAGTATAATTAATAATAGTTTTTTTCAATCGTTAAAAAATTGATTTTGTTCGTTTTAAAAATTTTCGTTCATTTTCCATCTATTCGTTTTCTCGCTAAACGATCGTTCAGTAAAATCGTTCTTTTATTTAAAATTGGTCGGTTTTTCAAAAGTTTGTTTAAAAACGCGTTCCCTCAGTATAAACCTATTGTTCTTTTAGTAAAAAAAACTATCGCTTTTAAAGATCGTTTGAACGAACAATTCAGAAATAGTTTATGAACGCATAACAACAAAGATCGATCGAACAATTATAAATTGTTCCTTTTTTCGTTTTTAAAGAACGATCATTTATGTTGATTTCTCTGAACGATCGTTTGCCCATCGTTCGTTCGTTCTCAAATTTGCTCGTTCGTTCCCAAAAACGATGCCCGTCTCCAGGTTGATATTTACCACCATCTTCAGGTTGATATATACCTAGCATATCTACCAATCCTTCAACCTCTGCAACTCTTGCCTTCTCTTCGTCCTTCTTTGCGGTATTTAATCGAGATTTCCTCTTAGAGGCCTAGAACAATATAAAATATATGTAGGGTGTCCTGAAAGGGAGGAATAAAGTTAACCCTAACCCGATTTGGCTATTTTTGTCTAATAGAATGTTGGGGGGGGGGGGTGTTTCCGCCCTCCACTCATGATTTTGCCCTAGGAGTTAAGATATGAGAGTGTGACACAAATGTCCCAAGTCCAACTTTTCAAGTCATTTTCATTAATAAAAAAATAGACCTCTATCTTTAATGGTTAGGGTAAAAGAGAGGATTTTAAAAAGGTCAAAAAGTACGTCGGAAAAATAAATATTTTTACTTTTGACAAATATTAACATGTGACACATGTTATTACATCCCTTTTTCGAGGGCTATTCAAATAATCATTTATAAACATTTATAATTTTAGCCCTGTAGCTAAATTTATAAAAAAAGTTATAAACCATTTTTGATTTTTTATAGACACCGACCTGCAGTTTGACTGTCTTCCCTATGCATCAAAAAAATAGTTTCTAAATTTATTTACAACTATGAAATTGAAAAAGTGAAGAAGTTTTGGCGTTATAATGTCAGCTGTTTTTAACTTATTTAGAATAAACGCAGGGGGGGTTTTGAAAAACCCCCTCCCTGCACTTAATCGTGAAAGGGTTAAAGGGACTGTCGAATTACTTTTAAAATAACCTTTATTTACTGAGTTAAATGCCTTTTTAACCTTTGTCTCTGAACAAAAATTAAAGATACATTAAAGATAAAATCATAATATATCCTCCTCATTATTACTTATAAATAGAAGGATAAAAGGAAGCATTCGGAATGGAGAATTTTGTTCTTGAACATAAGAATCTAACTTTTTTCTTTTAACAAGTTATATATCTAATAATATTTTGCACCAACAGTTGGATGGCTAACAAATACGCGACAAAAAATCGCATATATTCATCAAATGTTGAATACAAGCGATTTTTTGTTAAATTTAAGCAATTTTTTTGATTTTGTAATTTAGAATGTGCAATTTTTATCTTTTTCT